GCATTTCTGCTACATGTCTGTCCAACCGTAATACACCTCTTTCATAGTAAATGCACCCACCCTTATTATATATCATTTTATTCAGGGGAAACAGGGCTTTCATTTAATATCAAATATTTAGCTATGAAACATAATTTAATATGAAAAAAATGGGAGAAAATACGATTTTTTGGATTTTTTTAGTTCTACATGACATTTTAACGGTCAGTGTCATAATACTGTTTGCTTTTACTGCAATAAAATACACATATTTGTATTCAGCAAAGTCTCACGTGTAAAACAGTACCCCCTATGTACAGGTTTTATGGCGTTTCGGGAAGTTACAGGGTCAAATATAGCACGTTACATTTGAAATTGAAATTCGCCAGATTGGTTACGCCAGTTTTATACTGTACCCGCCATACTTCATATGGCAGGTATTAGACAATTCCGTATAAATATGTTCACCTTTTTAAAATATTTGAACAAAGGCCAAAACACTGGCCAAAGTTAGTGTTAGTATTTGTTTGTGTGTGAAAAAATGCAAAAAAATGCCAATTTTGGCCAGTGTTTCTGACTAAGTGGCTACTAAAAAAGACTGGACATACCCTGTTTGCAATACCTTGGGTTGTCTACTATTGCAAATGGTATGCCATCATAGGGGTAATTTTCATTCTTGGGCTACCATAGGGTCTCAAAGGCAACGCAACCAATCTGGCGAATTTTAATGTGAAAAAAATGAAACGCAAGCCTTATATTTGACGCTGTAACTTTTGAAAACACCATAAAACCTGTACATGAGGGGTGCTGTTGTACTCGGGAGACTTCGCTGAACACAAATATTTGTGTTTCAAAACAGTAAAAAAGTATCGCAGCAATAATATCGTCCGTGTAAGTGCTGTTTGTGCATGAAAAATGCAAAAAACTTCACTTTTACTGGCGATATCATCGTTGTAATACATTTTACTGTTTTGAAAAACTAATATTTGTGTTCAGCGAAGTCTCCCGAGTAGAACAGTACCCCCTATGTACAGGTTTTATGGTGTCTTGGAAAGTTATAGGGTTAAATATAGTGCTAGCAAATTAAATTCCCTTTACTTTCGGCATGGGTTGTCATGCAGGTCCTGCTAATTGTAATTAATTAAGATACCCAATTATGTAAAAATATTACATAAATATATATGTAGAATCAATATATGTATATATATATACGTATGTGTATATATATGTATATATCTATATAATTTTTTTAAAATATTTTTATTTATATATAGGTATATATATAGTGATATATACTTATATATTTATGTGTATAAATATATATATTATTTCGTTCTATGTGTATTTTGATATATATATATATATATATTAATTTCACAATACAGTTAGAACGAAATAACACACATCTATATATTTTTTAATTATTTATTTTTAATTATTTTTGTAATTTTATTTTTTAACGTATTTACATTTTAATTTTTTTATAATATATATAAATATATATATAACAATAATTATATATATATTTAATCAGTATCAGTGTACGTGTAATTTGATATTAATACATATATATATAATTATATATATATATTAATAGTAAAATACACCTAGACGGTGTACATGTGTGTATGTATATGTGTATATATATACTTTGATCATATATATATTATATATATATATGATCTAAGTATATATAATTTTATTTTTTTACACTTTTAACTTATTTTACTTTTATTTTCAGCCAGCAGGGGGACCCCCTGTAATTACAGGCAGCCCCCCTGCTGGCAATACAGAAGCCAGCTATACCCGGCCATGTGATTGTGGGGTCCTCGCTAGGACCCCACTCTCACACGGCCGGGGGGCTTCCTGGAGGACGGTCGTGCCGCGGGGGGCTCCCTGGGAGTCTCCCCCACCGCGATCGCCGGCGTGGGACCGCCGGCGACCGGGTAAGTACAGAAAGACCGGAGGGCGTACTATTACGCCCGGCGGCGTTTAGAGCCGCCTATTAGAGGACGTAATAGTACGCCCTCCGGTCTTAAGGGGTTAAATTAGAACTATTTATCTCCTGCTCTGTTAATAGCTTTCTAGACCACGCAGGTGCCTCTTGTATATAATTAAAGTTCAATTTACAGAGCAGGAAATAAAAACTTTTACAATGAGTTACATCTGATTGAAAGTGAAACCATTTCTTTTCATGCAGGCTATGTAAGAAACAGTCAGTGGAGGTGTGGTTACGCCTGCATAAACAGAAACAAAAGTGATTTAGCTCCTAAATGGTGGAGAATTGAGCAGTCAGACCTCAGGGGCATGATTTATGCACCAAAACTGCTTTATTAAGCTTAAGTTGTTTTGAGGTGGTGAGTGCCACAGTGTGATTTGCACCAGTTGCGCTGCTAAACAATAATAGTGTAAGTTTGGGAAGCCTAGTACGCCCGCCAATTTAGGGTGATATAGGATATTACATGCCACTCTATGCCTGTTTCCCTGCCATACGAAGTTGTCAATAGCCTTTTGGAGGGGGATTAAATCTTTCTTAGTCAGGTATATGGGTAAAGCTTGGAACAGGAATAATATTTGCGGGAGTATGTTCATTTTGACAGAGTGTATCCTGCCCAGCCATGAGATTGGTTTATCTGTCCACCTTTCCATGTCATCTATCAACGTCTTGAACATGGTGATGTACTTAAGGTGAAATAGTTTTGTGGGGTCAGACGGTAGCCATATCCCCAGGTATTTGATGAAGTCATGGACTAGTTGGATCTGATTGGTATCCCTCACCAGTGCCGTGTCCGCTACAGAGAGAGCTATCGGAAGTGCGCTATATTTCTCCATGTTTACTTTGTAGCAGAATAGTGCTCCATAGTCAGTTAAAATATTTGACAGGGCTCGCAGGGAATCGACTGGTTGTGTCAGAGTGAGAAGGATATCGTCTGCATAGCATGAAACGCCAAAAAACACCACCCCAAGCTCCTAGACAAATGTCTTGTTTGCCTCATGTTCTGGGGCTGTCCACCTTACTGTGAGTGAGTGAGTGAGTGTAGCTGTCAGAGTGTGTCTGTGAGTGAGTGAAAGTGTCTGTCTTTCAGTGAGAATGGGTGTGCCTGTGAGTGTGTGTCAGTGTGTGTATGTCATTCTATGTGTATCTGAGAGTGTGTGTTGGTTAAACAGTGTGTGCCAATGACTGTTTATCTGTCAGTGAGTGTGTATCAGTGCATGTATCAATGAGGGCATGTGTCTGTCAGTCAAAAAAGTGGCCTTGACACAAATTGGGGTTAGATTTTGGGGGTGCCCGAAGTTAGTCGTGCCTAGGGCAGCACAAATCCAAAATACACCACTGGGTGTTTGTACACAAATTATTACATATTTAGGGATACTTTAGGAATCAAAACAACTTCATCTTAATGAAGCAGTTTTAGTGTACAGATCACTGGTTTTTGCAGTCTCACTGCTCAATTCTATGCCACTTAGGAGTTAAACCACTTTTATTTCTGTTTATGCAGCTCTAGTCACACTAGGTTCTGACTCACATTATCTGAAAAAAATGTAAAAAAAAGATGTTTATATCTCTTGCTCTGTAAATTGAACTTTAATCACATTCACAAAGCTCCTCCAGGCTCTAGAACCCTACTGACAGAGTGGGAAATTAGACATTCTAAATGTAATAGACTGCTCAATAAAGGATAAACAATCAAACAGTACAATATTCAGTAGTGTCTAGCTCAACACACCTGTGGGGTATCCACTTAATGTCACCTGGCTCTAGTGTGTATCTCCTTAGGATCCTTAGGGAGATCCAAACCCCACTTCAAGTTGGAGGAAGGTGGTTAGGATGATACCCCCTCAAATGATGAAGTAGATACAAATCTCCAATTTATTAAATCAAAATATAAAAGAAGATGAAAAGTCAAATTATATTAGCAGTAATGAATGTCCAAGTCACCAAGACGCGTTTTGCTGAATTCTGGCTTACTCAGGGCCGTCTTTAACATTGATTGGACACTGGGCAGGCATTTGTTTGGGCCCCCTGGATCCTGCCATCCCTCGCCCTCCCCCCACACTTTCACTCTCTGGCATGCAATCACGCCCTCCACCCCAACACAGTGGCAGAACTAATGTAGACAGGGCCCTGGTGCAAGACATTGTTTTGAGCCTTCCCTCTAGCGCAAGAGCAGAGAAAAGATAGATCCTCATCTGTTGTACAATTCCAATGATGCTATGCCAGCTGGGGATCTACCATTTGTCCATTTTTGCAGGGCTGTATTTGTGAGCAGTGTTTGTGCATTTGAATGTGAGCATGTTGTTGTATACAGTATGTGTGTGCATGTAGGGTGTAGTATTGGTGTTTAAGTGTAGGGATGTGTTTCCATATACTTTTTGAGTTTGAATTCAGGGGAGTGTTTGTATGTAATGTTTGCAGGGGTGTGGTTGCATGTTGTGTTTGATTGCCGTGATGTATGAATGTCAACATTCACAGATATACATACACATTAGCACACGGATACATGCACACATCTGGACACACTGACAAAGACTGGCGTATACACAAACAGCCACATACATAAATACACGTGCACACACAGAGATAAAAACACTGGCACATCCACACACAGAGATACACACTTACACACACTGACACAGATATATACACAAATACATATGTATTTGTGTGCAGTGTTGGCGTAGGAATGCTGGGATGTATGCATTGTCACACAGATGCACTCTCACACAAACAGTGATACACACAGGAACACAGATACACATGCAGTGGTGTATTTGTGTGCATTGTTAATGTTGGAATGCAGGGTTGCATTTGTGTGCAATGTTAGCTGGGATGTATGAATTGCCCCACGCACAGATACACACTTACACATACTGACACTCATACACACACAGGTACATATAAACAGACAAGCAGGTACACATACAAACTGACACATAGGTATACATACACACAGATACACATAAACACTGACACAAAAGGTACATGTACACTGACACAAACACAGCCATATAAACACACACTGACACAAACAGCCAGATACACACTTACACACACACAGTCAGATACAGACACACACACACACATACACACACACACAGTCAGACACAAACACAGCCAGATACAATCACAGCCAGCCAGATACACACACACACACACACACAGTGAGATATACACACACACAGTCGGATACACACACACACAGTCAGATACACACACAGTCAGATACACACACAGTCAGATACACACACAGTCAGATACACACACAGTCAGATACACACACAGTCAGATACACACACAGTCAGATATACACACATACAGCCAGATACACACACATACAGCCAGATACACAAACAGTCAGATACACACACACACACACACACAGTCAGATACACACACATACAGCCAGATATACACACATACAGCCAGATACACACACATACACAAACAGTCAGATACACACACACAGTCAGATACACACACACACACACAGTCAGATATACACACATACAGCCAGATTCACACACATACAGCCAGATTTACACACATACAGCCAGATACACACACAGAGTCAGATACACACACACACACAGTCAGATACACACACACAGTCAGATATACACACATACAGCCAGATATACACACATACAGCCAGATACACACACAGTCAGATACACACACACACATACAGCCAGATACACATACACACATACAGCCAGATACACACACATACAGCCAGATACACACACAGTCAGATACACACACACAGTCAGATACACACACACACAGTCAGATACACACACACATACAGCCAGATTTACACACATACGGCCAGATTTACACACATACAGCCAGATACACACACAGTCAGATACACACACACAGTCAGATACACACACACACACAGTCAGATACACACACATACAGCCAGATACACACACACACACACACACAGCCAGATACACACACATACAGCCAGATACACACACACACACACACACATACAGCCAGATACACATACACACATACAGCCAGATACACACACATACAGCCAGACACATACACACATACAGCCAGATACACACACATACAGCCAGATACACACACACATACAGCCAGATACACACACACACACATACAGCCAGATACACACACACATACAGCCAGATACACACACATACATGATACACACACATACAGCCAGATACATACACACACACAGCCAGATACACATACACACATACAGACAGATACACACACACACAGCCAGATACACACACACACAGCCAGATACACACACACACAGTCAGATATACAAACATCCACCAGATACACACACATACAGCCAGATACACACATACAGCCAGATACACATACACACATACAGCCAGATACACACACATACAGCCAGATACACATACACACATACAGCCAGATACACACACATACAGCCAGATACACACACACACTGACACAAACACACACACACAGTCATATGAATTCACATAGTTTAGCCACCCTCCTTACCTCTACAGAAGTGTGGCTTCCCTGTGGTCCAGTGGGAGCTGGATGGCTGAGATTGATGGGAGTCTGCTTGTTATTGGTCTGTACCTCCTCCATGTATGTCTCCTCCTCCCCAGCGGCACTCTGTTAATTGGGAGGAAGTGACCTCACAACACTTCCTCCCAGCAGGCAGGAAGACCAAGGCCCGGTCTGCAGCTCTCTTAAAGGGCCGGGGCCCCTGATTACCTCACCTGCTGCAGCCCACCGGGATATTTCTCAGTATCCCGGTGGGCTGTTCAGACCTGGCTGCAGGCAGGGGGCCCACAGGGCAGCTGCCTTGGGCCCCCCAGGAGCAACTGGGCCCGGGGCAGCTGCCCTGTTTGCCCCTTGTTAAAGACGGCCCTGCTGCCAAGTGACCCTATGTAGGGGTAACAGTCCCTATTCTGCTCTGTGTCAGTGTGTATCATGGTCTCTGAGGACAGGTGTCAATCCATATCTGCCAAGTGACCCTATGTAGGAGGAACAGTCCCTATTCTGCTCTGTGTCAGTGTGTATCAGGGGCCCTTAGGACAGGTGTCAATCCATATCTGCCAAGTGTAGGGGGAACAGTCCCTATTCTGCTCTGTGTGAGGAGGAGGAACGGGAAATGAGTAGCTCGGCATCCAACCTTGTGCAAATGGGGTCTTTCATGCTGTCGTGCCTGTTGAGGGACCCTCGTATAAAAGGCTGAAGGAGAACGACCTGTACTGGGTGTCCACGCTACTAGACCCCCGGTATAAGCAGAAAGTGGCTGAAATGTTACCAAATTACAAGTCGGAAAGGATGCAGCATTTGCAAAATAAATTAAAAAGTATGCTTTACACAGCGTATAAGGGTGATGTCACAGCACAACGGGAATCTAACAGGGAAGAGGTGAAAGTCATCCTCCTCCTCCCACGACCACGCCATATCTGCCAAGTGACCCTATGTAGGAGTAACAGTCCCTATTCTGCTCTGTGTCAGTGTGTATCAGGGGCTCTGAGGACAGGTGTCAATCCATATCTGCCAAGTGACCCTATGTAGGAGGAACAGTCCCTATTCTGCTCTGTGTCAGTGTGTATCAGGGATCTCCTAGGACAGGTGTCAATCCATATCTGCCAAGTGACCCTATGTAGGGGGAACAGTCTCTATTCTGCTCTGTGTCAGTGTGTATCATGGTCTCTGAGGACAGGGTCAATCCATATCTGCCAAGTGACCCTATGTAGGAGGAACAGTCTCTATTCTGCTCTGTGTCAGTGTGTATCATGGTCTCTGAGGACAGGTGTCAATCCATATCTGCCAAGTGACCCTATGTAGGGGAATAGTCTCTATTCTGCTCTGTGTCAGTGTGTATCAGGGATCTCTGAGGACAGGTGTCAATCCATATCTGCCAAGTGACCCTATGTAGGAGGAACAGTCCCTATTCTGCTCTGTGTCAGTGTGTATCAGGGACCCTTAGGACAGGTGTCAATCCATATCTGCCAAGATGTAGGGGAACAGTCCCTATTCTGCTCTGTGTCAGTGTGTATCAGGGATCCCTAGGACAGGTGTCAATCCATATCTGCCAAGTGACCTATGTAGGGGGAAATCAGTCTCTATTCTGCTCTGTGTCAGTGTGTATCATGGTCTCTGAGGACAGGTGTCAATCCATATCTGCCAAGTGACCCTATGTAGGGGGAACAGTCTCTATTCTGCTCTGTGTCAGTGTGTAGCATGGTCTCTGAGGACAGGTGTCAATCCATATCTGCCAAGTGACCCTATGTAGGAGGAACAGTCCCTATTCTGCTCTGTGTCAGTGTGTATCAGGGACCCTTAGGGCAGGTGTCAATCCATATCTGCCAAGTGTAGGGGGAACAGTCCCTATTCTGCTCTGTGTAAGGAGGAGGAATGGGAAATGAGTAGCTCGGCATCCAACCTTGTGCAAATGGGGTCTTTCATGCTGTCGTGCCTATTGAGGGACCCTCGTATAAAAAGGCTGAAGGAGAACGACCTGTGCTGGGTGTCCACGCTACTAGACCCCCGGTATAAGCAGACAGTAGCGGAAATGTTACCGAATTACAAGTCGGAAAGGATGCAGCATTTGCAAAATAAATTAAAAAGTATGCTTTACACAGCGTATAAGGGTGATGTCACAGCACAACGGGAATCTAACAGGGGAAGAGGTGAAAGTCATCCTCCTCCTCCCACGACCACGCCATATCTGCCAAGTGACCCTATGTAGGAGAACAGTCTCTATTCTGCTCTGTGTCAGTGTGTAATATGGTCTCTGAGGACAGGTGTCAATCCATATCTGCCAAGTGACCCTATGTAGGAGGAACAATCCCTATTCTGCTCTGTGTCAGTGTGTATCAGGGATCCTTAGGACAGGTGTCAATCCATATCTGCCAAGTGACCCTATGTAGGGGGAACAATCTCTATTCTGCTCTGTGTCAGTGTGTATCATGGTCTCTGAGGACAGGTGTCAATCCATATCTGCCAAGTGACCCTATGTAGGGGGAACAGTCTCTATTCTGCTCTGTGTCAGTGTGTATCAGGGATCCTGAGGATAGGTGTCAATCCATATCTGCCAAGTGACCCTATGTTGGGGGAACAGTCCCTATTCTGCTCTGCGTCAGTGTGTATCAGGGTCTCTGAGGACAGGTGTCAATCCATATGTCAAGGTGTCAATATGTCATATGTCAGGTGTCAATCCATATTGATTGTGATTTAGGAATGTTAGGTGATTTCTGCCCTTTATGGATTAAACCAGACTCTGTATCAACTGTGTAATTTTCCATGGGAGTTTTGCCATGGATCCCCCTCCGGCATGCCACAGTCCAGGTGTTAGTCCCCTTGAAACAACTTTTCCATCCCTATTGTGGCCAGAAAGAGTCCCTGTGTGTTTTAAAATTCGCCTGCCCATTGAAGTCTATGGCGGTTCGCGAACATTTGTGGAAGTTCGCGTTCGCGAACCGAAATTTCGTGTTCGCGACATCACTAGTTACTATTACCTCTGTTAAAGAACTCTCTGGATACCATCTGCTACCAATGTACTTCTCAGACACAACTGCTCTGAATGGGACAAAGCTATGAGGAGTAAGTACAAGCTTGACAATGTTACCACCTGACCGATAAAATGAAAAAAACATAAAATCAAACAATATATATGACCTAAAAACTTTTTAATTCTTTATACACAATTATTTGTATTTAATTGTTGTTTTTTTATCATAATCTTTAATAAAGTTTTTTCTTTTTTCAACATTGAATAAACATAAATATATACAGCATTCTTAAACATACTATTCTTTTTTTTTCTAATTCTCATTTTTCTTCCTCTTTAGAGTTACACAACAAAAACACATCAATTAGCAAATATTAATTTTATTGCGGGGGAGGGGGGGTAGAGAAAGACTTGGAATTTACATAGATATTCTTCTTGTAATGTAATGTCTTTAGGGCCTGTATATTTAGTATTTTAGTTAACATTTGATAACCATTGATCCCATATATAATATTGTTTTGGAGAATTTAGTGATGTGACACATGATATAGTCACAGGGGGGAGGGTTTTTAGCGTGTATATGTATCTACACAACCTTTGCCTTAGAACTCTGTCAAAATCACCTCGTCTCTGTATACATTTCACCAGTTCCAGAGACAAGCAGCGGTGCCATGCGTGATCTGCCAGGACACAGGTAGTGCTGTGGTGGTGCAGAAAGCCT